AAAAATTTAAGTGCAGCTGCATTTATAATTAAAGTGTTACTAAACCCACAATAGTAAAATCAGTCTGTATATGCAGTAAAGCATACATGTTAATAATCTGCACTGTGTAAAAAGAATGTTTGATCCTGACTTCTCTGATCCTCCCCTTCTTCCAGTGTCACCCTCTTATCTCCTCATAAGACATATCGTGTGGAGACACTGCACATGCTCAGTTTGGTGTGTATTGCTAGAGAGGTTTTATTTTTTCTTGGGAGAGTGCATGTAGTCAGCTCATGGCCAATCAGCACTGCCCAAACAGAGGTCAGGGGTTCTATGTCCTCCTAGAGAAAACTCCTCCTACAAGCTTTAACCAGTGCTCGGCTGGACACTGATAGAAGTCACAAGACTGCTCTAACTGCTGATGAGAAAAGGTACTTAGCAGTTTATATTTACTAAAATAATTGCACTTCCATGTTGTGGTCCTGGGTTTAGTAACACTTTAAAGCGGAGCTCCACTCAAAAGGGGAAGTTCCACTTTAAGCCTTTGTTCCCCGCTCCTCATCAAGGATTGTGACCTTTGGGGAGGCGATCGGAAGCAGAAGTTGCCCTCCTCCCCTCCCTCCCCGTAGTCTTCTGGGACACGTGACAGAAAACTACAAGGCCATTCACAAAGTGCAGCGCTTCTCACGCATGCACAGTGGGCACCCGGCTGTGAAGCCACAAGCTGTCACTGCCAAGTGCCCACACTGAAGATGCCAGTGCCAGGGAGAGAAGACAGCCGGTAAAACTAGTGGTGATGAGACCAAGAGACAGGTAAGTGTCTGTATTTTAAAAGTCAGCAGCTACAGTTTTTGTAGCTACTGACTTTTTTTTTCAGGTGGAACTCCGCTTTAAAGAGCTACAGTACATTTATTTTTTTTAATAAGGGGCCATATTTCTTCTAATCAGAAAGTTCACTCACTTTGCCTTAACCTAAGTTCCGTGTAATTTTTAGCAAAATATATGCCCTCATCTCCATAGTGAGTTGGTAGGAGGAATAGTTGGGAGTGTATGTTCTAGAGCCGGTGCTATGTAATCCCGCTCACTCTGCTTTCTACTTCACTTATCACATGCAAATGACAGAGACATCATAATACACCTACCAGGTGCAGTGTGGAAGTTTTCATTTGCCTAACCTGCCAGCTGCCCATAGCCAGTGGGGGAAGCACAAAATGAATTACCCTGCTGACATAGTATGATGGGGACAGAGTAGAAGAACTGGGCAGATGGGGACAAAGAAGGGGACATAGGGGCAAAGCAAGGGACATGGAGGGATAGTGGCAGCAGGGGAAATGGGGCAGCAAGGGATGTGGGGATAGAGCAAGGGAAATTGGGTGACATTGATAGCAAAGGACATGGGGGCAGAGCAAGGGACATGGGGAGATAGGGATAGCAAGGAGATGGGGACAGAGCAATGGACAAGAGGAGATAGGGAAAGCAAGGGAGATGGGGACAGCAAGGGACATGGGAGACAGGAACAGCAAGGGAGATAGAGAAATAGGGACAGCAAGGGAGATGGGGAAGAGGAAGGGATATGAGGAGATAGAGACAGCAAAGGACATAGGGACAGAGCAAGAGGAATGGGGAAAATGGGGACAGCAAGGGAGATGGGGACAGAGCAAGGGACAAGGGGGGATGGGAACAAAGCAAGGGACAAGGGGAGATAGAGACAGCAAAGGACATGGGGGCAGAGCAATGGACATGAAGAGATAGGGACAGTAAGGGAGATGGGGACAGCAAGGAACATAGGGATATAGGGACAGTAAGTAAGATAGGCACAGAGCAATGGAAATGGGGAGATAGGGACAGCAAAGGAGATGGGGAGAGAGCAAAGGACATGGGAGATAGGGATAGCAAGGAGCATAAGGCTAGAGAAAGACATGAGGAGAGAGGGACAGCAAGGGACATGGGGGCAGAGCAAGGGACATGGGGACCTAGGGACAGCAAGACAGATGAAGACACAGCAAGAGACATGGGGGCAGAGGAAGGGACATTGGGGCAGAGCAAGGGACATGGGGCAGAGCAAGGGACATGGGGAGATAGGGTCAGCAAGGGAGATGAGCGGGACAGAGCAGGGGACATAGGTAGAAGGGGTTGCATTGTGGAAAAGAGGGGAGTGGCGGGGGATGGTGGAGAAGGTTGGGGTAGCAAAATGTACTTTCGCCTGTGTAGACAAAAATCCTTCACTGAATCTGCTCCAGGGATGGTATATTTTGCCTTCTTACATTAAGCCAGCTTGGAACAATGTAAGTAAGCATATTTGATACCTGACTGGCCTTTGTGAAAGCTGTAAATAACTGTAGTAGCCCAAGCTACTACAGTGATGTCCTCAGTCTTTCAGGTGCTGTGCAGAGTGGCTACCATTCAGAGAACACCTTACTTTTTTCCCAATGAATGTAAAGTGTTCTCTGATAGGTGAAGATAGATAGGAGCGATAGTGGTGTCAAGGTCTCAACCTTGTTCATTCATTTTCCATTCACTGAGAAAAATGCAAGACATTCTTTGAATGGTGACCAAGCCAAGCGAGCTACTCCCTACTTACTATACAGAAAGGCATCACCCAGAAGATCACAGCCATCACAGTATCTTGGGCTACCACAGTGATTTAGAGCTTCTACAGATGCCAATCGGGTATCATATATGCATAAGTACATTGTGCCAAGCTAGCCCAATGTAAGTATGCAAACAATATCATCCCTGGAGATCAGAAGAAAACAATAATATAAACATGCACATGGCTAATCCAACTGTGCAATAAAACATTAAATGATTGGCAAAAAAAAATTATTGGTAAATTAGCAAATAACTAGAAGGCTGACCTTACAAGAATCTGCTGGTGTTGAATACTATTTTAGATTACAAAACTACTAAAATACTACTAAAATACGTGTGGTCAATCACAGAAAATGTGCTTTGAGACAATAGAGATTAATAATTAATGTTAGTGATTGTACTTAATGAAGCTTATTACTTTCATCTTCCCATCAGCAACTAAATCTAAATTATTTTCACACTATTTTGGAAGTGTCATTCACTTGTTCTGGTCAGGGTAAGAGTAGCACCATAAACAAGGTATGCATACGTGATAAGGTGGTAATAAAAGGTGAAAATAAAAAGTTCTATTTATTGTAAAGACAGTAAAAATGTATGTAAAGTCAAAACGTTTTTTTAATTGTGCATGGAGTTGGGAAGGTTTTCAGGTTTTATTGCTGCCTGTCTACTGAGGAGATTCACCCCTGTTAAATGACCTGTTGACCACTGCCACTCGGGCTGAAAATAAGGGAATCTTTAATATTTTGAGGTGTCACCAGAAGAGCACTAGAAGGTAAATCTGTTAATGGGGACATCTGCTCCAGTTACAACTATCTAAGAGGGGGTTTACCTTCTTTTGGAGAAGGTAAATATACATTAAGGAGGAATTCCAGGCATGTTCTAGTTTTGCACCAGCTTGGACCAATTCAACTAGGTATGTACCGTATATCCACTTCAGCTCCAGCAACATACTGGTACGTCGATGGGCTTTCAGTGGTTATACCAGGATGATATTTGCAGCTGCAGGCATCATCCTGGTATTGTTTTTTTAGAGTCGACGGTCGGTTTTCTTGTCGTGGATCACTTTTACAAGCAGCAGGAGGGGACGCCCACCTCCCTCCGCCTTCCACATTGTCTGTCCCACTGGGAAACCTGAGCGACCATCCAGCCAGCTGACCATCGAGGTAATCAGAGACCAGAACAGTTCTGATTGCCTTTATGATATAGAAAACTGGAAGCGATGAGCAAATATTACTGATGGTTTCTCCGGATGTAAACAGTGCCATTTTTAAAAAGGAAAGGCATCTGATCACATCAGTCTTGGTGTGATTAAATGCTTCTAAGGGCAGAGGAGACATCTGGGGTCTAATAGACCTCAAACTTCTCCACAAAGAGTACCTTTCACTGCCTATTGCAATCACAGGGGTAATTTATATTCCCTATAATAACAATAACAGTGATTAAAAACATGTAAAGTGACAGTGTAAAAAGAATTTTAAAAATTAATTAAATATTTTTTAAAATATAAAGCCCCACCCCATCCCCCCGTGCTTACATGCAAAGGCGAATGCACGTATTGGTTCCGCATGCGCACAAACAGCGATCGTCCCACACATCAGATCATGGTCAGTAATTCTAGTACCAGACCTCCTGTGTAAATCTAAAGTAGTAACATGTAAAGGCTTTTAAAATGTTGCCTATGGATAGTAAAATTGATGCCATTTGTTGCCAGTGCATGGGTGTGCGCAATTTTAAAACATATGATATTATGTATCTAACTACTCAGCGTAACATCATATTTTATCAAACAATTGGCCATTGGCCATTATATTGTACTTTTATGCATTAAAAATCCTAAAACTGTATTTTTTCCCAAAAAAATTGAGTTTGAAAAACTGCTGCACAAATACCAAGTGAATACAAAATTGCAACACCCACCAATTTATTATCTAGGGCCTATGCTTTAAAAAAATATATAATGTTTGGGGGGTTCTAAGAAGTTTTCATAAAGTGGATATACCATAACTGGTCTATGTTCCTGGAAGCTGGATATCACTGGAGTGGCACCACTACTACAGTGATCAGAGCCGTCTTTAATATTGATTGGATCCTGGGCAAACACTTGTGACTCCCCCCCATGCAATTTAGCTCTCCACCTGCTCTGAGACAAACAATAAATAGCAGCTAGACTCAAAATCAGTTTACTGCAGCAGATCAGGCAGTGATTGTGACTGGTTGTGTCAGGAATGGACTTGCCAGTAATGGTGGGACTCACCTGCCTTGTGGGCTGCAGTACCAGGGCTGGCCAGCGGGTGCTCTCAGCAATCAGAGACTCAACCCTGCAGTCAGCCAAAACACCTGAGGCTGATTACAGGTGTATTTAAGGGATGGCCAGACCTGCAGTCTGTGCCTTGGTGTGTGTGTTTTTTTTCCATGGGCCCCTGTATCTTGTTACCTGCAGTCCTGTTCCTTTTCCTGTTCCTGTTCCTGTCCCTGTCCCTGTCTGACTGATTCATTGCCGACCCTGCCTGATCCATACCTCTGCTGACTTCTCCTGTTTGATCCCTGGCTTGTGACCCCAACCATTCTCTGCCTGACCCGATGCCCACTGTCGAGCAAGACGATCCAATGCCTGATGACCCGGTGCCCGCTGTCGATCCAGACGATCCGGTACCTGATGACCCAGTGCCTGCTGTCATGCCTGGTGACCCGATGCCTGCCGTCGAGCCAGACGACCCAACGCCAGATGACCCGGTGCCCGCTGTCGAGCCAGACGATCCAATGCCTGATGACCCAGTGCCCGCTGTCATGCCTGGTGACACGATGCCCGCTGTCGAGCCAGACGATCCAGCGCCAGATGACCCGGTGCCTGCTGTCGAGCCAGACGATCCGGTACCTGATGACCGGTGCCCGCTGTCGTGCCAATTGACTCAGAGCCCACTGTCGTGCCTGGTGACTCGGTGCCCACTGCCTTGCCAGATGACGCGGGCCCGCTGTCGAGCCAAATGACCTGATGCCTGGTGACCCAATGCCCGCTGTCGAGCCAGACGATCCAATGTCTGACCCAGTGCCCGCGGTCATGCCAGTTGACTCGGTGCCCACTGCCTTGCCAGATAACGCGGTGCCCGCTGGCGAGCCAAATGACCTGATGCCTGGTGACCCAGTGCCCGCTGTCATACCTGGTGACCCGATGCCCGCTGTCGAGCCAGACAATCCTATGCCTGATGACCCAGTGCCCGCTGTCATGCCTGGTGACCCGATGCCCGCTGTCGAGCCAGACGATCCAGCGCCAGATGACCCGGTGCCTGCTGTCGAGCCAGATGATCCGGTACCTGATGACCCGGTGCCCACTGTCGTGCCAATTGACTCAGAGCCCACTGTCGTGCCTGGTGACTCGGTGCCCACTGCCTTGCCAGATGGCGCGGTGCCCGCTGTCGAGCCAAATGACCTGATGCCTGGTGACCCGATGCCTGCTGTCGAGCCAGACGATCCAATGTCTGACCCAGTGCCCGCGGTCATGCCAGTTGACTTGGAACACACTGTCGTGCCTGGTGACTCGGTGCCCACTGCCCTGCCAGATGACGCAGTGCCTACTGACGAGCCAAATGACCTGATGCCTGGTGACCCAATGCCGCTCCGCCCGGGGGCCCGGCGCCCGCCGCTCCGCCCGGGGGCCCGGCGCCCGCCGCTCCGCCTGGGAGCCCGATGCCCACCACTCCGCCTGGGGGCCCGATGCCTGCCGCTCCGCCCGGGGGCCTGGTGCCCACCGCTCCGCCCGGGGGCCCGGCGCCCGCCACTCCGCCTGGGAGCCCGATGCCCACCGCTGCGCCTGGGGGCCCGGCGCCCGCCGCTCCGCCTGGGGGCCCGATGCCTGCCGCTCCGCCCGGGGGGGCCCGGTGCCTGCTGCCCCTCCTTGGGGCCCGGCGCCCGCTGCTCCGCCTGAGGGCCCGGCGCCCGCCGCTCCGCCTGGGGGCCCGCGCCCGCCACTCCCCCTGGGGGCCCGGCGCCCGCCGCTCTGCCTGGGGGCCCTGTGCCTGTGCCCGGAGTCCAGCCCGATGTGCCTGTGCCCGGGCCAGCCCGATGTGCCTGTGCCCGGAGTCCAGCCCGATGTGCCTGTGCCCGGAGTCCAGCCCGATGTGCCTGTGCCCGGAGTCCAGCCCGATGTGCCTGTGCCCGGAGTGCCCGAGTGCCTGTGCCCGGAGTCCAGCCCGATGTGCCTGTGCCCGGAGTCCAGCCCGATGTGCCTGTGCCCGGAGTCCAGCCCGATTTGCCTGTGCCCGGAGTCCAGCCCGATGTGCCAGTCTTTGATATCCCGCCAGTTACCAGACCCGGGCGGTGGAACATTTTGCCCAGCTAGGACTGTTTGGAGCGTCCTGAGGCCGCTCCTTGAGGGGGGGGTACTGTCAGGAATGGACTTGCCAGTAATGGTGGGACTCACCTGCCTTGTGGGCTGCAGTACCAGGGCTGGCCAGCGGGTGCTCTCAGCAATCAGAGACTCAACCCTGCAGTCAGCCAAAACACCTGAGGCTGATTACAGGTGTATTTAAGGGATGGCCAGACCTGCAGTCTGTGTCTTGGTGTGTGTGTTTTTCCATGGGCCCCTGTATCTTGTTACCTGCAGTCCTGTTCCTGTTCCTGTCCCCCTGTCCCTGTCTGACTGATTCGTTGCCGACCCTGCCTGATCCGGACCTCTGCTGACTTCTCCTGTTTGATCCCTGGCTTGTGACCCCGACCATTCTCTGCCTGACCCCCTGTACCTACCTGCCCATTAGTTGCTGTACCCGGCTCGTGACCTGACTACTCTCTGCCTGCTCCTCCTGTTCCTACCTGCCCGATTGTTATTGACCCGGCCTGCCTGACGATGCTTGCATTGTATTTATTGTTATCTGTGGGTGGTTTGGTTTGGTTCGTTTGCACTGTGTTATGTTTTAGTATTGCACTGCGTTTATGTATTGTTAGTGTTAATAAATTATTGTTTATAACATATCTGAAGCCTGCGTTTCCCTGCGTCAGTTCACATACCTCTGGTCATACCCTGGAGCCCTGACAGGTTGCTAGAGGTTACTGCACATCCATACCACTCACTGATTAGTTGCTAGAGGGAACTGCACATCCTTACCGCTCACTGATTGGTTGCTATAGGTTACTGCACATCATTATAACTTACTTATTGGTTGCTAAGGGTTACTGCACATTATTACTGCTTACTGGTTGGTTGCTTTAGGTTACTGTGCATCATTAACACTTACTTATAAGCTGTTACTTATCGGCTGCTAAATGACAGCACATCATTACAGCTCACCCATTGGTTGCTACAGGTTACAGCACATCATTACAGCTCATTGATTGATAACCTCTGCACCCCGTAGCTCCCCCAACCTCTCGACTGCAACCCCTCCTTCTTAACTCTACATGCCTGCTCTGCTCATCTATGCACCCACCTTCCTTGCCTCTGTACATCCCCTCCTTGCTCAGCTGTGCACACCAAAGTGTAATTCCTTCTCTGCCTACCTCTGCACACTCCACCTGCACTATTTTTCTTACCTTTAGAGAAGGCTCAATGACCACAGTTGCAAGCAGGACTTTCAAGCATGCCTCTATTTACCTCCCGAGTGGGTAGCATTCAGCAGAGGTGATGGTGGATGGAACCTCAGGGGGGCATAATATACATTTGAATGCCGCCACTATTTACACGTGAATGCTGCTGCTATTTGCATATCCATGCCAGTTCTTTACATGTGAATGCTGACATGATGTCATGGGTCATCTGTACACTGCAGTAGGGCAGAGGCAATATAAATGACAGCACTTCACACTGAGATATAAAAACACAGTGCAAGAGGAAGACTTCAAGGGGCAAGGGTATGTAAAATGGGACAATTGGCAAATACGGCCAGCTGCTTTGGGCCCCCAAAAATGATTGGGTCCAGGGCAGCTGCCTCTTTTGCCCAGCCTTAAAGACGGCCCTGACAGTGATCTCCACTTGCTACCAAGTTTCAAGCCAAGCAGCTGCCCTGCTGCATTTTCAACACAGGAGGTCAGCTGCTCAGCATGGGCACCATTCAGAGAATGCTTTCCATTTTCTGAATGAAAGCAAAGCATTCTCTGATTGGATAAGGTGGACAGGCAGGGTGGCAACGTCACACTCTCCATGTCATCCAATGAGAGATTGCTTAGCATTCACTCAGAAAATACAAAGCATTCTCTGAACAGTGCCTATATTAAGCAGCTGACCTCCTGTGTTTAGAATGCATCAGGCCAGTGCTCAGCACAGGATCCAGAAGCTAGTAGTGATCATTGGAGTTTCTGTGTCTTTGTTGGTGATTTCCAGATTCCAGGGTCATCAGCCAGCCATGGTGTATACATAGTTACATAGTTACATTAATTTAAACTGGAGCAATGTAAACATGTATAATGTAGCCATGCCTGGAATTCAAACCACTTGCCGACAGCCCAACCGCAAACAACAAGCAATTCAACATTTCGGTTTCACAGGAAATAAACAGCACCATTTTTAAATTGGAAAAGCATCTGATCACACCAATCTTGATGTGATCAGACGCTTCAAGGGCATATGAGAGATCTAAAGTTTAATAGACCCCAAATTTCTCAGGAAAAAGTACCTGTCAATGCCTATTGCTATCACAGGGGAAATTTACATTCCCTGTGATAACAATAAAAGTGATATAAAAAAAAAAATAAAAAATGACACTGTAAAATAATTTTAAAAAAGCAAAATAATACATAATTATAATAAAAATTTAAAGCACCCCCATCCTCTCCCGTGCTCACGTGCAAGGGTAAACTCAAGCGTCGGCTCCTTGTCAGTTTATAAACAGAGATTGCACCATGCATGTGAGGTATCACTACAAACGTCAAATCAAAGGCAGTCATTTTAGCATTAGACTTCTAAACTGGTAACCTGTAAAGGCTTTTAAAGCGTGATCTATGGATATTAAAAATGTATGTAGTTTGTCGCCGTTGCACAGGGTAGGCAATTTTAGAGCATGTCATGTTTGGTATCGATTTGCTCAACATAACATCATCTTTTATATTTTACAAACAATTGGGCAATATATTGTATTTTGTGCATTAAAATTAAAACAATGCTACACAAATACTGTGACATAAAAAATTGCAACTCCTACCATTTTATTCTGTACATTAAAAAAGTATATAATGTTTGGGGGTTCAAAGTAATTTTCCAGGAAAAAAACATTTTCATGTAAAAATAAGGGTCAGAATAGGCTTGGTCTTCAAGTGGTTAGAAGAGTGGGTGATGTGTGGCAGGAGCTTCTAACATTGGACGTAAAATGCCAGGACAGTTCTAACATCCCCCAAATTACCCCTTTTTTGGAAAGTAGACACCCCAGGGTATTTGCTGAGAGGCATGTTAAGTGCATGGAAGGTTTTATTTTTTGCCAAATGTTTTTCGATAATGCATGAAGGCAAAAACATTATGTGTGCATCTCTCCCTCCCCAAGCTCCCCCTAATACTTACCTGAGCTTCATTTTGATCCAGTAATGTGCACGAGAGCCTCAACTCTCCTGGGTCTCTCTCTTTTTATTGGCTGAGACACAGCAGGAGCCATTGGCTCCTACCGCTGTCAATCACTGCTGGTGAGCCAATGAGGACAGAGAGCGAGGGTGGGACTGAACCACATCTGTGTGAATGGACGCACAGAGCAGCTGCTTGGGAGCGAGTCTGCTCAGGTACCTACATAGCAAGCTGCTTGCTATAGGGGCACTTGGCACGAGGGAGGGGCCAGGAGAGTTGGCGTAGGACCTGAAAAGAAGAGGATAGAGGATGGCCTGTGCAAAACCACTGAACAGAGCAGGTAACATGTTTGTTATTTAAAAAATATATATGTCTTTACAATCACTTTAATGATGTTTTAGATTTTTGTTAGGTATTGGGTTAGCTTTGAAAAAAAAATGTGCTAATCCACATTTATTGTTTGTAAAGTTCACTCCTGCACTTAAAAAAAAATCCAGCTTTGTTT